AATATATCCCATGGAGACTTGACATTAAATACTTAGGAGTACACTTCACCCGACGACTTCTTTGGACACGACATATAGAAGAAAAAATACGGTCAGCTCACATAATCATTAACACTCCTCTTCCTCTTCTTACACATCATTTTTGATCCATCAAACGAAAATTATCAGTCTATTATACGTATATCCGCCCCACCATAACATACACTCACCCCACCTGGTCATGCACATCCAACGATAACTACCTCCTAATGACTCGACTTGAAAACGGAATTATCCGACTTTTCTTCCGACCGGCCCCATATACTCACTTCAACGACATAAGACGACAAAATGACATTCCCCATATTGCCACATACATTCATAATTCAGCTCAAAATATAATTCAAAATTTCCTCTCAGACCCTACGTATAACTTTCTACTTACTTCCCACATCCCTTTTATTACTAATCCACACAGGACGAAAAAACACCCCCTTGCCATACTTCAACTTCCCCCACCACCGATTTCACACAGAGGGCACAGAAAATTTTGACAACCTAATTTTAGTACCAACTTCTAATCAAAGATATATAATCCTGCACTTGATTGTTTATACAACGATATTAACTCCCTAACTGACACACTTTACATCAACGACTGACATTCTTTATCCTTCGTCATTGTCTACCATCCTCTTTTTATTTTCTCTTCCTATACTTTTCTCTTATTCTTTCTACTTCCCTTATTTCTTGCTTTCTATCATTTTCTTGCTATCACATCTTTAAATCCCACCTTTCGAATCAAAATTGCTACCCAATTCACATCTTGTGTGGGGAACGAGCGCTTTACTTGTAACTATGTATGTACCAAACTGGCATGAAGATTTCCAGCTGGTGTAGGCATGCTGCACCAACAACAATTCCTTGGTCTTGGTCTATCATCATTCACCACTTCGTCAGATTTTTGTGGGATGAGGCCAAACTCTGCTCCACTCATCGTCACGAGTATTGTGGACTGCAAAGTGCCTCGCCCTATCGTTTACACTGTTCGCCACACAGGGAGCACACGCAGTCTTCTTTCACTTCGTGGTGACGTGAGTTTGCGCAGATTTTGTGGTGAAACCCATGAGTCGCCAGTCTTGTGATCACATGTCTTAATTTCTGGTTTGTTTCTGTCCATTTTCTTTCCATCATGGCATCTATTTAGTAAAATTCTGACAATATTTCTCTTCTCTTCATTTTTTCCTCTAGCACTTGTGTACTTAGATTTGGATGGCAGTAGTAATTGGTATCTTAAGTCCTCAATGTAGAATGGTTTTATGATCAGTTATATTCTAAACTTTATTTTGTGTTCTTTGGAAGACACAGGTATCTTGCCTTAGCCCTCTCTATGGATCTTAGACAAGCTATTAACAGTTTTCTCCATTTCAATTGTATTCCGTATGTTTGCGAAAATAAGAATATATCATCTTTCAACAAATTTAGCAATCCTGCAGCCTTTATAATTGTATTGTTGTCAGATTCTTATCAAAACTATGATTTATATCATCTTTGTGAGCATAAACAACGAGGACGGTCCTTCTCTGAAAAGACTATACGAGTGTTTGGTCCGTGGGGGAGGCGTCTTTTCACTACATTGTTTAACACAGTCATTCGTTTGGATGAACGTGAAAAGAAAGCAGCAAATCCTTCAAGAGTAGAAAAAAATTCTGGCCATTTTGTTTTGGGAAGCATATTTTGCTACTATTAAATTCAACAGGTGGGCGTAGCAGTGAACGAAGTGTGCAAAACGATAATGTTTTTGAAAAATAGCTTGCACACCATTAGCCTTCCCCGACATCACTGATGCTCCATCATAACTCTGACCAATTAATTTGTGAGGATTTTAATGCAATTTCAAAAGCTGAAGCTGCACTAAAATATAAAAATAAAGTCAAATTCAAATTTAGATATACTGCGAATGGTGTACTTTGCAAATGTTCACTTACACCTAAAATATGGAATAATATTCTGGGGAAATTCCCCAGAAAGTATTCACACTTTCATCACCCCAAACGAATATTGAGAAGAATGTCAAACACTGACAAACATGAGTCCTGCAAACCACTGCCAAAAATTACAATACTACCACTCCCATTCATGTTCATATTTGAAATATTAATCTTCACAAAGAAGACACTTATAGGAAACATGGATTCTGTTACACAGAACTATGATACCATTAGTTTTCATAACTATGATACTACACAAAAAAGAAATCTGCATGTTCTACACTGTGAAACTTCACTTTTTCAATAAGTGCCCTTATAGAAGGCATTACACTACATAATAAACTTCCTAGCGAATTTAAAAGCTTAAACTCGTTACACACATTCAAAAATAAACTGAAAGATTTCCTGTGAAACAACACATTCTACAGTACAGAAGAATATATGCATCATTAACACGTATCTATCAATATAAACTAGTACTAAAATTTTTGCTGTTGCAAGTTTTCAAACCCCTCTAAAATGGTTGTTGGATATAAAGGACAGACCCAGCCTAGGCACAAACCTATGAAGAATTTTTTTATTATTATTGATTTTTAACCTAAGTCTTCTCACACTACTATTATAAAATTAACATTAATTTATATTATAGCTTTCCATGATATTGTTTTTAATACGAGAATTGAATTTTTAATTCAATTTATATCTTGTATTTAATTTTTAGAAATGTATGTATTGTGTATGAATATATATCCTGACTTGTCATACATGGCGTATGCTGTATTTATGTCACAAATATATTATTATTATTATTATTATTATTATTATTATTATTATTATTATTATTATTATTATCGTCGTTATTATTATTATGATCCTTGACACAATTTTGTTACCTTAACATCAGTCAATGGCACACCGTTCATTTTCAATGAAGTGCAGAGCTGTTTATTTTAAATGGAAAACTGCATAGAAACAGTTTTCTTTTCATTTACTATTAATTTCTTATTACGGAACCAATTTGAAATAACTGATATTGTACTATTTACGGTTTCTTTATTGAAAAGAATATTCGTATTATTCGCGAAGAGAATATATGTTCCAGGGAGGACGAAACAGTGACGTAAAATGCAAAGGGAGGCTTCGGAGAATGAAAATAAGAACTGCCGATACACAAAAGTACAAGAGACAATGCAAAAACCATCCTGGTTCTTTAAATAAGTGAAATGACGTAAATTCTCAGAGACGTGGGCAGAGACGCGGACACGCGAGGAAAACCCGGCGCGTAAGGTCCCTCGTTAAGGCGCCATTAGCAGTAGAAAACGGCTGAAATAGAGTACGAATTCAACTTGAATCGGTTATAACATGTTTTGTGTGATGTGTTATTTCAATATCATCCTACTCATTGGAGCAGAAAACTATTGAGAGAGTTTTCGAGAAACTTTATATATCATTATTTAAAGAACATGTACTGATAACTACAATAATATGAACAAATTGCCGCTAATATAAATATTAACATGAAAGATAAGTCAAAAACTACTCTTATGTGATTTTTGAAAAATACAAAAAATAGATTAATATGGCGTTTAGGTCATTACATAGAGTGCACTTTGTTCAATCTCTACCATAAGCTTAAAGAAAAAAATAGGAGCTGGTTTTGAGAAAATATTGTTTTGCATTTTTTTTAAATTACAGAATTTGCACGCAATATTGCGCGATTACTTCTAAAATTTCCAAAAATGTACATGACAAATTTTATTAGAAGGAAAAACTTATATCTTTAGTTTTGTAGTTGTAGAAAGACGCGCAAAAGTTTTCAAAACTTTGAAATTTTCAAAAGTTCAGAGTTAATCGTGAAAATTGGACCTATGCCACTTTTATACGTGTATGCTACTCTATTCTTACAAGAGATTAAAAGAAAAAGTTTGAAGCTGTTTTTGAGAACATTTTGAAAGTGACCGGAGTACTTTTTTTTAAAGTATCCCTAAATTCTGAGGAATGTTTTTCATATTTCGAAATTTTGATTCGAGCTAGATGGACAGGGTTTTCTTCAATCTGGAAAAATTTTACGCGTGATTTAGGCGCTAGTAGAGTTCATAGACACTAGACGGACGCACGAACGGATGTTTTTTTAAAAAAAGCAACCACTTTTTCGGTATCAGGGGACCCCAGCACATTTTGTTAACCATGTATGACTAATAGGACAGTGAACGGGTATTGTATATTTGGAATTGTATATTTGGGTTAAAATAACACGAAAGGCAGAAATACTGTTTAATAGCACGTGGGGAAAGTGATTTTACTTTGCTCGTAGGATTGGGGCACCTGATATATTGGCCTCGTGATGCTACCTCTTCAACTCAAAATAAGGAAAAATACGCAAAATAAAATGGCACTTGTATCGTAACTATTTGTTATTCCTGCGCAAATGTGCAGAATTTTTTTCTTTTAATGTTTTCAACACTGTTGGTATTGTTCATGCATAATGCTCTGAATATGCTCTGTAATAATGTAGTATTCACATTAATTTGGTATATCTACATGCTAGTAAAGTTGCATTTGTGCTTATTGCCTTGGGTAAAATAAAATTGTAAATTCTATTGAAATTGTTTAACATCAATATGATCAAAAAATACTAAATTTTGGTACCCTAATTTGACTTTTTTCTTCCATCAAATTCTTATAATTATTATTGTGAATTTTTTGATAAATTAAGCCTTTAGTATAAAATAAATTTTAAAGTTTCCGCCTAGTTTGTAATTTCAAATTTACCGGTGCCTTCGCTATTGGGTGTCCATCTGCCCAATAGAAATAACACAGAACAATGTGGCGGCACAGAAAGTTGGGAAAATAATTTTAACAGAGTGCAGCTCTGATAAATACTCTTTGACTTGGCTAATCTAGTGTCAGATCTAGTGAGGACGATCGTGGTGTATACTCTTTGATCGTGGTCTGGATACGTGTGTGTGGTGTATGTTAGACATTTATTTTTTAACCCTGGTTAATACTCCAATCTATCACGTATGTTAATGTTTTCGTGTATTCGTTTCGCCCATTTTTATGCTAACGTTTGGATTGTGAATGGGCCTTTTTCTGTCTCTGTTTGTAAAATAGGGAACCTGATAAATTACTCCGTAAACTAGTTTCTATTACAATTTTATTTCATTGCGAAGAGAGGAGAACGAGTAATATACGCTTAAATTCATAGTGAAGATTACGTTTTCCCAGAAGACCAAACATTGTGGTAAAATGATTCGTTTGCTTGTTCTTACATGACAGGCCGTTAATTACATGCTTATTTCCAAAGAGTAGGAAACGATCTGCACGGAACGCGTGCAAAATGTTTCCCCTCGAATGTGTTTAAGTTATGTGATTTTTTAGACTCAGGTTCGTGCTGTTTTCTTAACTAGTAATACAATTTTGTCGTTTTTAGATGGAGTTTTTGTCCCGGCGTGGCGAGGCGTGCAAGCCGATCGCGCGCGGGTTGTACCGAGTTACCAGCACAGTGGTTAGGTTGGTGCAAGGCAAGCTATGTTTTTCATACACGCCAAATGTTGCGACCGCTGCAATGGTGTCGAAAGGTACGTACTTTTAAAAGGATTTACGCTTTCGTTTCGTGGAGTTGATTCCATTAGTTTGTGAAGTGAGAACATAAAAATATCAGACTTGCACTGATAGAGCAAAAATGTTATTCTTGCCAAGTTGACTAAAGTAATGTATTGTAGAATGAATTAACAATTTTCTATCTTGGAGAGCAGTGGCAGTAGAATGTTAGTGAGATTTTAGAATCAAAGTAGCCAAAAATATTGTTCTTACTCCTGAAAGAGCGATCAAAGAGCCTACTGCCATGACATGTGTCATTCTAGGTCGAGTAAGCAACTTCACTTACTGTAAACGTGTTTATATCAAGAGCAGTGTGATGATGTATTGTCAAATGCTATTTTATGTATATCAGATGTCCTGTGTTCCTTTTGATGACCAATTTTGAAACAGTTCCATTGTAAAAAAACTGAAAAGAGGCACTGCTCAGTTCATGTCGCTTGCATTTCAGACCAGCTGCTTATTCTGTGGATATCTTAAGCTTACTCCAAGGAAATGCAAAGAAACAGAGATGGTATAAGATGTGGGCAGTGTAGTGAATGAGTGAAGAAAAAAATAAGTGTTACTTTGTAGGAGTACTGATCAGATATTTATGAGTTAGGTTGTGTTCTATTCTGTGTGTTGCCAGTGAAAACGTTGCTTCTATTGCAGGTAAGGTGAGGCCAGATCTCCTGTAAAGAAAATGCAGTTCCAATGCTTATATTCACGACCAAGTTTTTTATCACTAGGAGACAATAATGAATTGGTAAGTTACATTTGAATATGTTAATTATACTATTTCTCTCTCAACTCGGTCTTGTTGAGTCGTTTGTGTTAGTACCCCATGATAAAGAAACAATGAAACTGCATGGTGGCATGCCACCGGAGAAATAAATGTTTATTTCAAATCCTAGTGTGTGTTTATGAAAGAAATGGAATGATAAGACAAGTTCTGCTAGGAAACCATTTGTTCAGGTAGGTGGGGTATGAAAGTGCAGAGTCTTAGCAAGGCTTAGTAGGCTTTAACACATGCAATGTCACAGGGTGACATCTGTTACTGTTGTGAGATCATGAAGGGGCAGTGGTGGCGTACTTGATATATGAAAATCTGAAAATTTAGGTGAAGGGAATGTGTAGATCATTAAAAGGATGATCAGTGATGAAACTATAATACCAAAAATGGCCTCTGCTTAGAATCAGTTTGAGGCCAGCGCAATAGAATTGTAAGATACATGAAGGCATGGAGGAGAAAGTGTGTGAAGGGGGCTGTGGTAGGAAAAACAGTGAAGATAATAATGTGAATTATTTTACTTCATAAACAATTTTACTGAGTGGTCAGCTTAATTAGTGTGTTTTGTTAGTTAAAGGTGAGCAGAGAACATTGTGATTTCAAAACATATGTAGGTTCAAGAAGACACACAAGTATCAAATAATAAGGAGAGAGCCAAAATTGAACTCACTTTTTCTCTTACTCTAAAATTCAGATTATTGATTCTTCAACACACAGCAGCCAATGCAGATTCTTGTCTGACAGAGCACTAAGCAAGGTATTTAAGAAGCAGCATTGTAAACAGGTTCTTTATTGGAAGTGAGGAAATGAAAAGTTTGTGTGCTAATTGCAAGTATCTTGGCGACAGTGGTTGGGGACATTATAGTGTAAGCACAGTTTAAGGGTAAGGTCCTTTTGTGGGCTGATGCAGTACAATGCTTCAAAATAAATGCACAAATAGTGGTTAGAAAGCAAACAACTTTATCCGAATTTGTGGTATTGAGAAGAGAAAGTAAAGAGATGTGCAATCTTTAGTGATGAGAGGTAGGGCTTTTCTGACATATTTGACAAGTAGAAACAGTAGTTTCAACGGCTAGAACTAGGCATCATCTCACAACAGATAATGTGTTTTTATGTAGCTTTGCTGTTTTGAGAATAGAAACTGATATGATTAGTTAAGTAGAGTGTTGACAGTTAGTCGAAGTGAAGGTTAGATTGGGAATGAGATGTATCTATTTTGTAACATAGAACTAACTTGGCTCCACCCACACATAGTTTAAGCTTGAACAATGGTGTGAAATGGTTGATGAGGCAGTGGTTTAGCTTGATATGTGATATCTTAATGTGTAGATATGAAAGTGGCTAGTGATGAATCATAACACAAATTCAGTGCAGGCAGCGAAGTTGTGCAGCTCAGACGAGGGAGGTGAATGGAGGGATGGAGGTCCTAAAGTGACTGAACAGCATAACAGTTAATGAGTGTGGTTAAATTCAACGGTCTCTGAAAATTAGTTTTGTTTCTGTTGTAAGGTCTGTTGATTGAGCCCGCAGCTGTCCAGATGGCAGTTATGGATGAGAACTACAAGCTAAGCAAGTACAACGCTCAATCAACAATGCATATTCAATAAGTTAGAAAGTAAAACAAGTTTTCTCGAGTGTGTGTATTGAGAAGCAGCAAGCAGCATGCAGTAAGGAGATATTGCAATCATTAGTATTAGAACGTTAGTTTTGTTTTTGTATCTCTTATTGTCATAAGCTACCATAGTAGTGTTTCTGACAGTAGGAAAAGCAGTATGCTTTTAAAACAAATTTTAGATTTGTAATGTAATTCACAGATAAGAAATATTAACTGAGATTATTCATGAAGCTATTACAGTCTTCCCAGCATCAAAATGCAGAGTTAATTTCTCTCTACATCGCAATGCCAAAACACAATCTTGCTTATGCTGCAATAAAAAACTGTGAACAGCCATTGA